TAAGACAGTTTTAGAAACGGTTCTGGATCCTGTACGACTGACAATCATGGGTAGCTTATTAGGCAATCGTAATAAGCTACCTTATTAGAATTGACCTGACTCACCTGTATTGTAGATTGAAGAACCCATTTTAGAAAAAGATTAGCATTAAATCCAATAAAGTCAAAGCAAACTTTTTAGAAGAAGCTTTATAAAACGGACTGAAGTGTCTGGTAGTGTTGTTACGGTACTCGATACCGTTACAACAATAGTGCCTAGTAATAATTTAATTCATGAAATAATGTAATTCTTCAAATGCAACATTATCAACTTAAAAATTATAAATCAATGTTAATAATTAACTCAATTTTAAATTAATGTTAATAGTTAACTCAATTTTAAATTAATGTGGATAATTAACTCAATTACTCAACGTTTTTGGTTTAGTATCAAATTTCAAAGAACTTAATAAAATTAAAGTAAAAAAATTAAATGAGTTAACTGTTATTAATCTTTATTGAATTTAATAAATGTTTATGAATGAAAAGCTGCATAATTTGTTTGCGGTTTTTGAAAAAACTGTTAGTATATAAAAATAATAACTGTTAATAGATATAACGGGTTATAATTAAAAAACGATAATGACTTTGAAGACAATGGTATTTAAAATAATTTATACTAATTATGGTCGTTAACTAGTTCAACGGCAGTTTATGACCGACCTAACATCTAATGAAAAAACTTTGTTAAAAAAATCACGTTTGTAACCAACTGACTAGCGGAGATAATTTGGTAAAATTTCAACAAAAGTTTCAAAATTTTATTTCATCTAGTAAAAGATAAAAATTAATCATTTGCCCAATTGCCTACGATTTATGTTATAATATATAATAATATTATGTAAGATAACACGTAAGAAAAAAATATATTGCGTCAAATTTCAATTGTGTCAGTTTTGAGTTAACCTCATATCAATCTATTTTGAGTTAACAAAAAACCCACATAATATGACAACTGACTCGCCACATAATATGACAATTGTCTCTCCACATAATGTGACACTTGACAATTGTTACACAATGTGACAATTGACAATTGCCATAAAATGTGACAAATGATTCTCCACAATATTCAATATCAGTTTATACAAATGTTGACAGACTGATTATAAGTATTCATGGCTTAACGTTATTAAAAGCATGGCTTAATGTTATTACCACAAATAAAATGTAGCTAAACATTTCCTCAAAGTCAATAGGTAGCAGAAAAAAATCCCCCGGCAAAAAATCCCCCCGGAAAAAATTCCCCTAAAATAATCCCCCGAGGAAAAATCCCCCTAAGAAAAAATCCCCCCGGGAAAAATCCCCCCAAAAAAAGATTTTTTTTTTTTTACATAAAAATTATCAATAAAATAGTTATGATTATTATTCTTAAATAGTTTTATAAAATACTTCATTTTTCATCAAAATGTAAGGAGGTGCGCTATTTCACGGTTGTCGGTAAAAAATAATAATAATAAAAAACTCTCCAATTCCTAATATTCTATTTTAAAGCTTTATTTAAAATAAAATTTTTATTTTTTTAACTGTAAAACATGCGCGGAGTATTGCTACATCGACTATCTTATAGCTTGACTCGCAACGGAGTGCTGCTACATCGACTGAGGGTTTGGGTTGGACAGGCAGTCTATCAAATAATTAAAAAATATATATATATTTTCATATTGTTTTCGTCTAGTTTCACTTAATTTCCTTTTATTTTTTTAAATATTTTTTTTGCTTAATAGTCCTTAAAATATACCGCTAAATTAACTACGATGGTTCGCAAAAAAGTTCACATTTTACCAGTTCGCAGTTCGTCAGGGTTAGGGTTAGGGTTTCACATTCGCTACCTTTGAGGAATAGCGCATAACTTGACATTTTGATAAAAAATGGAGTATTTTATATAAATATTTAAAATAAAGAAAGAAAGAAACATAACTGCATATTGATAATTTTTATGTAAAAAAAAATTTTCTTTTTTTGAGGGGATATTTCCTGGGGGGATTTTTTCTCGGGGGATTATTTCGGGGGAATTTTTTCCGGGGGGATTTTTTCCCGGGGGATTTTTTCCTAGAACCAGTCAATAGATTTAAGAACGATGCTCTCTGAGTTTAGTAAAAATTAATATTGGTTTGTTTTTGAAATTAAATATTTTTAACTAGTACGATTTATGAGCATCAACTTTTCGAAATTTAAGGTAAAAAAAAAAAATTGTTAAGAGTTCGTTGTTTTACCACATGAAACCAGTTCTGTAAACAATTTGTGCATGTTTATTTTTTCTTATTCAAGTGGTGTTTTTATAATCTTTATATCTTTATATATAAATCTTTATAATCAACAAATTGTTATAAAGACGCAACAACGTTCCAACAACGTTTAACAACGTTCCAACAACGTTCCAACAACGTTTTTACAACAACATTTTGTATCAGTTTTGGAATTACACTTTGTATCTTTAAAAAGTACTTCACTAGTATATGTAAAACTTCCTAAGTATATTTAAAATTTATTTTATATATGATTTATAGACGCTTCAACTTTTTACAAAAAACAAACTGATTTTCATATCCTCTTTAAATTAGCAACAGATATAAAATATTATTAATTAGATAACCCTTAATGAATCTTTTATATCTGGGAAGAATATAAATGCTCTCGTCCAAGTGAAAATACTTTCTTTGTATTTAGATTTCACTTCATTAGCATCAATAAATTTATCATTTGAATGTCACAATAATCAAATATGTTAACAAGTAACAAACATGTTAGCAAACAAAATTTAAAATTTTTAATAAGATTTTATTAGAAATTTATCTAGATAGAAAGCAATACGTTCATAATGTAAAATCTGGAATATTAAATGTATGCGGAGTACAACATAGATCAATACTTGGTCCGCTTCTACTCTTAATTCATATTAACGACTTTTGCAATGCATCATTAAAAATAGACTCAAAAATGTGTACATACGATACAAATTTATTTCTTATCAATAATGATATCAAGCATCTATTTACAGATATGAATATGGAATTAAATACAGTAGATTAATTTATGGCAAACAAACTCTAACTTAATATTGAAAAAACAAATTATACTCTACTCCATAAAAAAATACTAAAATTAAACATTTCTCTTGCACGAATTTTATTTAAATGTTACAATAATTAAAATGCAAGCAAGTATAGAATTCTTAGGAATTTTTGTCAATGAAAATTTATATACAGTCAAAAATTACCAAAACAATCAGCGTAATGTATTGAGTTTGACCATACGTCAATATGTTAAGTCTCAAATTAATATATTTTGGGATAATCAACTGTTTCATTAATTTATCAAAAAATTTGTAAGCTACAAAAACACAATTGTCGTACCATTTACTTTAAAGATACACGAAAAGATGCAAAACTTCTTATGAAAAATATGAAAAATAATGGATATATTTTGAAATAAATATCAGCAACTAATTTTTATGTATAGATACTACAACAACCTTAAATCTAAATGAAAAGTATAATCTAAGATCAAATAAAACTAATAACTATAAAATACCTCGGAAATGTAATAAATATTCAGAATTTTGTATTTCTTACGTCGGACCTAAATTATGGAATGACTGTCAAAAAGAATATAAATTTATCGTGAAGTCCTTAAATTTATTAAAGTTTCAAACAAAATAATCAAATTTTAAAAATTTGATTATAAGAAAAGTTTTTCTTTTTTTAATTTATTTTTTTCTTGACTATTTTACTTAATTACTTCTAATATTTTTTAGACGAGTTTTTTGCCATTATGATGTATTTAAACTTGTTACAAATGGGTTCTATGAAAAGATTATGATAACGTTATGTTATTTTAATCTTCTTTGATTCCCTGCTTTATCTTAATTTTGTTTTTTTCTTTGATCTGCTTTAACTTATTTTTGTTGTAAGGCCAATATATACTTTTATATTTTATTTTATGTAGTCTATATGCATAAGTACATAGCAAAAGTAATATTTATACTATTTATTAAACAGAAAAACAAACAAACAAAAAAGATGATACTTGATATTAATGCAACATCAATTTTTGTGGCATGTGACATCTTATTATTATAAAAATAGCTTCTATTCTAAAGTTGGGGGAGGGGAGGAGGAGGGGCGAACAGTATTTTAAAAAAAGACGAAAAGATGCAGTGCTTGTGCTCAATTACCAAACGTTATCCTAATTTGATTTTTATGTTTTGCTTTGATTTAAAAATAAAAAGATATTTAATTAATAACTTGATAAAGTAAAACTGATCCATTTTGTAAATACAAACATTGGTAGCTAAAAAAAATATATTGGGATGAAATTTTTGTCACTTCCCCAAACGTGAGAGCAACAAGTTGATAAAATATTTTTTTACTTTTCTCAAATAGACTTATATTCATCGATAAATTTTAAGTTTCATCACATTATCTTTCAAAGTTTAAAAATAATGACCTTATAAACTTTGACTGCCCTCAATTTGAGAGGGTTACACATTTATTAGCCCTGCGTATTCAAATTCTTACAGAGTTATAGATAAATCACATTCAAGTAAGCTAATATTTTTTTGTCTTTAATGTTTTCTTTCTCTTCATTTTTACAGCATGAAACGTATTTTATAAAATATTTACATTATGTTATGAAAGTCTGATAATTTTTCTCTCAATTGATATGAAATAGCTGGAGATTCACTGCTGTGGTTTGAGAAGTAGGATAAAAGTTAAAAATTATCGCTCAATTACTAAGGTTTTTTAAAAAGTGACAACTTTGAATAGCTGTGGGGAAGCGTAGGGTGGTCTAAAAAAACACTACTAAAATATAATAATATGGTCATTTGCAAAAGCTTTGCATAATCAAAACTTTTTATACCAAAATTGTAAAATCTGGAATTAATGACTCTGATTTTTTCTTATCACTGTTCGACGGCTATTCACACGGCGCACTTTTAAAACTAAGACCGTCTTTTAA